TCGCTCTGAATTCAAAACTCTTAAAGTATGCAAAATAAATCCTAAAATTTTAAATATGTAGCAAAATAAACTCTTACTATTAAGTTTTTTAATGTTGTTACTGTTCACACGGGTACTGTAACAGTTAAGGTTAAATTTGTAGGAAAATAAACCCGTAAACAGTACTTGTGTGAACAATAACGATGTTAAAAAGTTAACGGCCAGGGTTTATTTTGCTATGAATTTAAAAGCTTAAAGTTTATTTTGCATATTTTAAGAGTTTAGGATTCAAGACAATTTTCAAACAATAATTCAGGGTCCTATTTGCTCATTAACCTTTTAAAATAATTTCCAAATATAAGGCACCATTTATGTCTAATTGGGTAGTGGTGATACCAAAACAAGTTAAAAGTATAGGAATCAATAGTTCTATTTTCTCAAAAATTGTACTATTCCTAAATCATACTTCTTCCCTCCCAAATTGTACGATTTGAAACAAGATTAAGTATATTAATAAAATTTAATAATGACAATTTATAAACTTACTTTTTCAAAATAAAAATATAAGCTTTAAAAAATATCTATCATTTAATATAATGTTAATCTATAATCATTTCAGTTCTCTTTCCACTTGATGGATAATACTAGAAAAGCATTATCTATAAAACCTTATTTTTGTTAATTTGTCTTATATTTTGAAACAATAAAATTCTTTTAATATTATCTTATAATTTGAGATTGATAAAGTAAATTGAATAGCATTATGTGTTTATTAGATTTGATGCATTTAACATTGTTATCTCGCTTTTCACCAATAACATCTGAGACTCTTCAATATTAAATTGACAGAAGCAAGTAGTTGTATGCAGAATGTCAAATCTTAATTTCTACTTGAGTTTTTTCTTGTCATGTTTGTTTTGTAAATAATGTAAATGTGAAGGAAAAGGATAGGTCTATGTGGCAGTGGTCTCCTCATTAAAGACAATATTTGAAGTTGTCAATTTCCATCTATTTTCATTTTTTTTTATTGGGCAAGTGAATTTTCATTGATTATTATCATATCAAATTTAAGAAATTTTACCAAAACCGAACTTGATTATAAGGACTAAATTTTTAAAGACAATATCAATCATTTGCTTATGAATGTTTGGAATCCAAAACTTTTATATAGTGTAATTTTTTCTTTAACATTTAAAAATAGTGCACTAAGCATCATGTCATTAAAGAGTTAATATTAATTATTTGTTGACCTTGAAAATTACATGAAATGACTTAAAAAATTACAAAAAAAATCTAGAAAATTACAAAAAGCACCTTATGGAAAAATTAATATAGATTAAGTTCTTAAAATAGTGTGATAATTTATAAATTTTCATTTAAAATTTATAAGTATGCCTTCAAAGATTTACAGCTAGTATAAAAAACATGTTCATTTATAGATAAAAAATAAGCTTAAATTTCAAGAGCATGTGTAAATCTTAAAAGTTAACTTATAATTATTTTTTTAAATTTTACCCCTAACCTTAGCCCTTTTTCATAGAAAAGGCGATGTAGACATGCACATAATATATGTCAATGCCAGGTTCAAACCAAAGACCTCTTTCAGCAAGAGAGAAAGGTGGTGTTATCACAAGACTAACTAACCATTGACAAAATTAACCTATAAATTACCTAGTAGATGGTTAAATTGGCTGGTCAAAATTGTATTTTAGTCTTTTATATAATTAAGAAATAATATTTGTATTATGATATGTATATATAAGTTAGGAGACTTAATTGGTATTAATTTTCTTATAAGGTATTTATATGTAATTTTTTGGGTCCTTTCTCATAATTTTTTATCAATTAACAATTAAAATTAATTTTTTTAATAGTAGGTTGTCCAATGCACTATTTTTAAATGTTGAAGAGAGAAATTACATTATATATAACTTTAACATATTAGATACCCCTAAACAAATAGTTGAGGACAAAAAATATCCTTTACCTCATTTTTTAATACAAAAATTATAGGGACTTTTTTTTTTTACTTTAGAAATTTATAAGGACTTCACTCAAGTTAAAATTATAGGAGCAAATTTAAGTTTTACTTCTATCTATTATAAAATACTGCTAATATATTTTATAAAAAATGATAATAAAAATTCACTGAAATATATAAATGATAATCAGATTCCTCAAAATATTATAATTCTTCTAAAGTTTGTAAGTACCTTTTTGACATTCATATTTTAAGTTGAATGACTAAATTGCCCCTTTTTAAAATAAAAAATAGCTGTTCATATGGAAAATTATAATTTTTTATTCAATTATTGCGACTTACAAAATAAAAGTTGTGATTGATTAAACAAAATTACAATGGTTATTTTCAAAACTTAAATTTCAATTATAAGGGAAATTTTGCATGAAAAGTTGTGATTTCTTATTTAATTTTTTTGATTCACAAAATTAAAGTTGTGATTGAGACTATTTATTTTTGAAATTTTTTTATCAACAATAAAAAAATTTCACGTGAGAAGTTACATTTTTTTATTAAATTTTTGTGATCCACAGAAAAAAAAATTATTATTGCTTAAATAAAAGTTGTGATTGAAAAAATGAAACTACACTCATTGTTTTTATTTTAAACAAGGGACAATTTAGTAATTTAACTTAAAATTATTAATATCATAAAGGTAACTAGAGATTTCAAATAAATTATGATATTTTAAGAAACTTAATTATCATTTATATATTTTGATAAAATTTTATTGTCATTCTTTTTAAGGAGTTTGATTAAATTTTAAAACCATTTTCATGTACTAATTACTAGTTCATGCTTTTTTGCTTGTCATCTAAGCCAATTACATCACCGTCCATATAAAACTTGATACAGGTTGCTTGCCTATGCAGACTTACAGAGCAACAACAAAAATTGATTTTTTTTTTGAAAAAATAATAATAATATCCTTTCAAATTACATAAATAATAATCTAATTTTTTAAAATATCATAATTTCAAGAAATAATGACAGTAGGTTCCAAAACAGTGAATTAATATCAGTTGAGTCTTCAATAAATTTTTTTGAAAAGTAAGTTGAAAATATTAATCTAAATTATTACAAATTTAGGAGTTTCAATTATAGATAAGCATTTAGATATTGAATGTAACTTTTAAATTGTAATAGAAATTTTTGTTTGAAACTATTTGAATTGATATTCATAATTCATTTTATAAAAAAAATTTAGGGAGAATGAAAAAGAGGTCCCAAAAATGATTAATTAATTCTAGGTCCCAACTGTCAAACTCCATAAATTTACAACTCAATTTCTTAATTTTATAATTGTGTTGTGATCAATTTGTAACTTATTTTTTAAATTTTAATATGGTTGAAAAATAAAAAAAAATTATTTTTCTTTAAATATAAATTGTAAATTCATCATAACAAAATTTTAAAATTGAGAAATTAAGTTGTAAATTTTTAAAATTTAATATTTGAAACATAACTTGAATTAATTAGTCTTTGTGGGACCTCTATGTCGTTCTTCCAAAAATTTATCGAGACTTAACTAATATTAATTCACTATTTTGAAACTTAACTATCATTTTTCTTAATTTCAATGAAATCCCTAATGTCCTGTTTGGTATGCTGGAAATGGAGATATGGAAATAGAAATGGAATTGCAATTAACTTTTTTTTTTGTTTGATATGCATGAAATGGATTTCCATGTGAAAATGAAATCCATCAAAATAGTTGAATTGGATTCTATAATAACACCCATAAAAATGAGATAGGTTTCATAGAATTGAATTTTTTTAGACAAAAATAACCTCAGTTATGAAATTATTTGACAGATTTGCTCCTTCATCAATCATTGAAGTAAATCAAAAGTTTTTTTAGTAAATATGCATATATTAAATAAAAAATATATCATAATTAAAAAAATTGGCAGGGGTATTTTAGTAAATTAATTATATAGATGCATATATTAAATAAAAAAGTATATCATAATTTAAAAAAATAGATAGGGGTATTTTAGTAAATTGATTATATAAGTGCATATATTAAATAAAAATATATCATAATTAAAAAAATTGACAGGGGTATTTTAGTAAATTGATTATATAGATGCACATATTAAATAAAAAAGTATATCATAATTAAAAAATTAGATAGGGGTATTTTAGTAAATTAATTATATAAATGCATATATTAATTAAAAAATATATCATAATTTAAGAAATAGATAGGGGTATTTTAGTAAATTGATTATATAGATGTACGTATTAAATAAAAAAGTATATCATAATTTAAAAAATAGATAAAGGTATTTTAATAAATTGATTATATAAATGTATATATTAAATAAAAAGTATATTATAATAAAAAAATTAACAAGGGTATTTTAGTATATTGATTATATAAATGCATATATTAAATAAAAAGTATATCATAATTCCATGTACATATTAAACATATTTCTAAAACTCACTTCCACCTTCATTTTCATTTTCATTTCCATCAAAAACATTTTTAGAATACCAAAAAACTCACTTCCACCTTCATTTTCATTTTCATTTCTATCAAAAACATTTCTAAGATACCAAACGAGATAGATTTTTGTTTTAATAAATTTTATAGTGAAAAGACTATTTTATTTTTTAAAAAATAACAAACCCTAATCACAACTTTTGTTTAGTATATTACAATATTTAAACAAAAAATCACACCTTATTAAGTATAATTTATGTTATTTAAAAATAAATTTCAATCACAAATTTTATTTGAAAAATAATAACTTTTATTTTGTGAATCGTAAAATAATACAGAAAATCACAATTCAGTAAGTGTAATTCTATTATTAAAAAATAAATTTTTAAAATAATAAACTTATTTATAATTTTTGTTTAAAAAATCACAAAAATTTAATAAAAAATTATTACTTATCAATAAAAAAAAATAATTTTTTTATTTTAAAATTTATTAATAAAATTTTTTTAAAAAAACTTTAATAAAATTATAATAATATAAGAGATCAAATTATTTTATATAATTTAAAGTAATTTTATTGTTATTTTTCTTTCTTTTTCCTTCTGCGACAATAATTAGATTTGGCTAAAGATTCAAAAAAGCACGGAACTTTCGGACAGAAGCTCTGGAAACCAAGTAGCCAGCTCCAAGACCCAAGCACAGAACCCAAATTCCCAAATCGACGGTCCGTCTGAGTTGTTCTAAGTCCAAGACCCCATGAGAATCCTCTGAAGGAAGCTCCGTTTCTTCTGGAATCTGCTCTAAGCGACAAACATCAACGCAATATTTTACTCTTTCCTTGGGATTCCCAAGCCTCACCCAGTTCGTGGCGGCGAGGTTTCCGTCATCGAAGGCAAAGCAAAGCTGAACCTCTGATATTGATGACTGAAGAAGGTGAAGCTGAGATTTACAGTCCAACGTCCAGCGATGTTGGTCTTGTTCGACTAAAGTCCCTTTCAACAACAGGGCTTCGCCGAGAAAGAGCTGGAAGGAAAGGGGCTGGCGCCACCGCCGCCGCCGCAGGCAGAGGCTGAGCTTGGCGGCGAATAAGGCGTGGGGAAGTGGATGATTGAGAAAGCGGTGGAGAGAGAGAGAATGAATGGGAGCGTTGAAGAGGACAGTGAGGGGCAAGGGATCGTTGAAACCAGAAGCTGATGTGCGTGCATGAACGAAGAGAGCTTTAATGTTGATGGCATCATCGCCGTCGTGTGAATGCGATGAGGGATGATGAACAAGATCGGTGGACCTACACATAGTGTCGCAGTGATATTTTTGTGAGGATAGACTGAAGGATATGGTTGCTATTCAGTATTAAGGAAGCCGAGGCAGTGTCTGCGTCTACGGTTTTGGTTCAATTCCGCGGATCACACGCGGGAAGCACAGAGATTTTGCGCCAACTTGGCCGCCTCCCAACCTTTTTAATTGTTTTTAATTTTTGGGCCACGCTTTCCTTTTTAGTTGTTAAGTCCAACTGTTAATGTTGGCAGACAAAAAAGTCCAATTGATAAACCTTTATTGTAAAGCCTTGTTCTATCACAAGTTAAAAAACCCTTATATGGATGTCACCCAACAACTTTTTGCTTTAGAAGCACCCACTATATTTAAGTGAATAAAGATATAAAAATATTCATAAATTTATTATAACGAGTGTAATAATTCTCATTCTATTATATTTGACTAATGTTTGTTAATATTAACCATTAAAGAAAGGAAGCAAATGCAAGGTGTAAAAATATCTATAAATTTTTTCTTCAAGAGTTTCTTGTATCCTAAAATCAATAATGGCATATGGATACTCATTAATTCTATAAAATAGACCAACCTTTCCAAATTCACTAAGTTAATGGAATGGAGATTGTTGTGTTCATTATAACAAATTCATAGGCATTTTTGTACTTTTATTGATTTAAGGATACTAAGTGCTCTTGAAAAAAAAAAATTGCTAGACATTTTATCCTTTAACTTTATATGCCATTATCACGATAGAGAAAATGCCCACCATAGTAAAAAGAATAATAGGTAACTCACAAATACTATTGTTGTAATGAAAAGATTTACCATGATAGAAAGAGCAAAAAATAATACTTCCAAACCCTGACATAATAAAAAAAAGTCTACTATAATAATTAAAAATTAAATTAACTTTACAAAGGTTTACTATAGTAGAAAAAGTATTTTCAAACTAATAAAATAATTTTCAAAGTCAACTACCATGGTAGAAATTGAGCTACTATAGTAGAAAGAATTAAATATAATAAAAAGGCTCACAGTGGTAGTTTAGGAATACACTAGATTAATTAAAAATATACCAAATAGTATCCCATTCAAAAAAAGTTTTTAAAATTCAAAATAATATTATAAAGCATAAATGATAGTGAAACATGGTTCCCTAAGAAAAAATTGTTCAAAAACAAGTTTATATAAAAGTAAAAGCATCAAAAGGACCATTTTTTAAAATTAAATTCCACAAAAGGGCATTTATGTAAATATTTCACCATCCATCATGGCCAATGTGATGGACGAAGCGTTCCTTATAAGGTTCATGCATCACAGCATACGTACCATGTGCCATAGCACACAATGCTTATCAGCTCTAAATCAAAATGAACAATAATTAAAAACTTTAAATATGTATAACTTTTAGCACACATATCTAATTGTGATTTAAGTGTTCACACGAAGCTTATCACAAAAAAAGATATTAACTTTGGTTTGACACAAAAATACCTCTATATCACAATTTTATCTACAAACACTCGATAGGGATCACCAAACAATATTTTTCAAATATTTTACTTAATAACACTAACTTCAAAGCCAATATTTATGTGTGAACCCCTTGACAACACCAAAAGAACCCAAACAACTTATCTAACTTTAACAATTGATTTAACAAATTTAATTCTCATAGTTACATTACAACCACTATGTAACATTCCAAAATTTTAAATTAAGATTAATAAATTAGTTAAGCCGTTTAAATTTGTAAATTATGGAAACTGGGGATTAATTGAAGTAATTGGATGGCCATTAGGTCAATTGACCCTATATAAGACATAAAAGGCAATTAGAGGTGCCATTGAACCACTTTGCCCACATAATGGGCCTAAGTTAGGGTTTTTCAAATTGTGCCATCTGTCGTGACGAATAGTGCCATTGGCATGACAGACATGTCTTTAAGTTTGAGAGACACATAAAAAAATAGAAGGGAGGAACATGATTTTTTGAGCAAGAGTAAGCTAGAGCTCTAATAAGGTTTAGCTTGGAGGATGCTTGGAAGTGTTTTAGGGCTATCTACTCCTTGAGTAAGCACCCTTTCTCTTTCTCCTACCCTATCTATGCATTTTCTTTTGAGTTTATGGACTGCAGAGATTCTATCCAAATCTTGAATGGAGCACCACCCATTTTAGTAATTCCAATGGAATCTAAGGGTGTTGTTTATGCTCCTTGTCATTGGGTTTTGTTAATTGGCAATAGTTATAGTTGCTAATGATGGATTTAGAGTTAACCATAATACTAATTAATTAAGTTTAAGCTAATGAGATTAGCTACTAATGTTTATTAAGCTTAATGGCAGTTAAATAAGCTGATGAAAGTGAGTTTTGGGATTGGTTTTACTTAATCACACTAAATGAAGGATAAAGGCCTAAACTGTGATTAAGATTAATTAAGAACAATTAGTAATTAATACTATTTGTTAATCATGAATTATAGATGGACTATTATTAGAGCTTATCGCTCTGCAAATGTAAGCTCTTGCTTATTAATTAACCTATCAACACTCACCATTTATCCCATATCTTAGTATAATCCCATCATACTTCTCATTCAACAAACATAATCTTAAATTCATCTTTTATTCAACTAACTAAACATAGCCCTCACTGGCTTGTGCTCAAAGAGTTAGTCAATTTAATCCATCAAAAACATATACTTACAAGTAATATGCACTAACAGTCTTAGTTGGCAATATATAAATATACACAATATAAATTCTCTACACATATACACTAAGGCATTAGAGGTAATTACTGATTGTGTGCCTCTGATTCCTTTTTCCTTTACACCTACCAAATGTCACTTATAAAAATATTAGCGACAGAAAATGAGATAAACATCTTAGTAACCAAGCAATTACTAACTTCTAACATATATTCAAATAACATTTAAGGTTATGTAAGTATAAGTGTCCCACACCCCAAACCACAAAAGAATATATAATACCATATATTCTCATATAATACCACCTATTCACATATAATACCACATATTTACATAAATATGTACACGTGATCATCTATCACCTTATAACTTTCTTATTCCTTCCGACTGAATCCATAGGCTACTAAGTAACATGATTGAATCCAGATATCCCGATTCACCCCAAGCTCTCCAATATTTGAGGGGTAACCTGACCAAAGGTCATCGCTCACCAAAATTAGACCACGGACCCCCTTACACACAAGGTGTCATATAGTACTCATACTCACTCTTAAAGTGAGTATCATCAGCTAAGCTAGAACCACACCTAACCTCCATCGGAGTCAGTGCCATAACTAAACAACTCTAGGTGCTACCCAAATATTTCCATGCCACATAGACTTAAATATACTCTCTAAGATCATATGGTGAACTCCCACTATTTATGTTACACATGTACATCATATTTATGATTATGCCAATCTCATATTCCCAGCATTTTTACCACATATGCAAAATCATATATTCTTCAATAATTTGTACTTCCACAATAAAAATTCATGATTCAACAATCATTCATAATATATTACATTTAATTATGCAGTTCATCACTCAAACTTGCAATACATAAATCATATACATATGCATCTTGTAAAATCTTCAAGTTAGACAAGTAAGTATATCCTTACTAATCCTCCTTAAGTTCCAAACATCATAGTGATTACCAAATTTGTCAAATTTCATAAATGGGATCCCAAATTTTTAACATTTTTAAAACATTCCTAAAATTCTTCACAAGTGAAAAATCATACTTCAATTAACATATAGAAATATAGGATCTCAAAAAGAATCAAGGCATTTGCTTAGAAATTGGAAAATAGTGAGACATTGTAGAAAATAGCTGACACCTAAGTAGAAGTTGACTATTTTTTACTGATATAGACAAAAAATATTCCTAAGTGAATTTTTACAAAATTTGATCGATCATTATAGGAGTACTCATAATGTTACTTTAGTAGGTACAATAGTGACCAATCCATCAAAATCAATACCACATGATTTTTTTCATCACCATGTATCCCACCCCCTCCCTCCCTCCCTCCCTCTCCACTCATTTTTCTTGTTTACAAAACCTAAAATTTAATATAGTGACATAGGTTGTACACAAGCAAAGATCAAGACTGAACATCGCCCTACCTTAAGAACATTGTCACAATCTTAAGCAATTTCATTCATAATAGGTTCCAAATTTTTAATTGGTTTTCGCCACTACTGCAAAGAGACAAGCGTGATATTCATACAATAACCAATTAACCTCTAGAGAATTTCACTTGAGAATATTTTTTGTCCATATTAGTAAAAAATAGTCAACTTCTACTTAGGTGTTAGTTGAACGGATAACATTTAAGGGATTTGATGGGTTGGTCACTTTTGCACTAACTCTAGTAATGTTATGGGTATTTTTGCTCCTGGCTGAAGACTTTGTGGGTATATTTTCTCCTTTTTTATCCACATCAACAAAGACTGACATATGACATACACTGTTAATATTTAACAATCAAAACTAACGGCGTTAAGGCAAAGTTAATGGTTTAATCACTTTTGCACTCACTCATATAACATTATAAGTATTAATGTCCTTTTCCTCACTATTTTGTGACTATTTTGTGAATATTTTTGTCCCTTTATCCTTTTTAATTTCAGTAATTAGGCCAAGGCTTAGCATTCTTTCTATATAATCTTTATTAACATGACCTAATCTATCATGTCACAAGTTAAAAGAATCAATCATAAAGATAGCCATATACTTAGAAGATGCACTATTATTCATTTCATCAACATCCAAAACAAACAAACCCTAATTATAATACCCTTTTCTTACAAACAAATTATTCCTTATCATTATAATCTTATTAGATTCAACTGACACTTTAACCCCATCTTTCCCTAACAGAGTAACTAAAGCTAAGTTTGCTCTAACTTCAAGCAGATGCAAAAATTATTCAAAGCAAGAGTTTCCTTAATATGAGCTCTAAGACCACTTTTTCTTACCCTTTGGCAGTTTAGGAATTAGCAAGGTAGACACAATCTTCCCCTTCTTTTATAGGATCATAAAGGTAAACATCCCATGGTTAGCACATATGTGCCTAATACCCTAAGAGTCTA